TGGACCTAACATTTAAACATAGGTATTATGATCTTTTTAGACACATCTAAACTTTTTGATGCACATTGCAATTAATGGGTGGGATAAAGAAGGATTAACATGTAACATTCAGCTGCCTGAAATTGATGTGGGCAGATGTCTGGTCTTAATTCTACATGCTATACTTAATCTGTGTGAATATGTGAAAACCCCATTCTTCCAAATCTTGCTGAAAGTCACTCTTGCTCAGATTTCACTGAGAGGAATTATCACTGATGACTTTGCTTGAAAACATCTGGCCAAAAGTTTTTTGTTAGAGGTGTGATTTATTATGAAAATATGTCGTCCTCTGGTTTACAACAGGAACTAATAAGCATTGGATATAGCACATGCTTCCTAAGCAAAACAGGTTCTTTTTTGGCATACACGGTCTCTCCCTTCCATCAGTGTCTTAAACACAGAGTTTGCAGTTTCTCATTTATTGTGCTGGACGAAGCCCACACAGGCTAAACTATCAGTGAAGTCGTTAAGAGGTGAATGAATTCAGGGGGAAAAAGGGGAGAGAAGAAAAGAAAAGCTGCTTCAGAAGACCTTTTCTTTCAAGTAGTCCCTGTTCCTTGTCAAAAGCTTTTGGATGTATGGCCTGTTCCAAAATCTTTTCATGGATTTTGCATACAAATTCTGCAGAGAGCAGAGGGAGAGGGGAGGAGGGTCAACACAGCAGGGCCTAAGATGTTAGGATGAATCTAAAGTTCCATTGAAACATTTTGCCTGTCTAAAATAGGATTTTTATTTTTTCAAACTACAGAGGAATAGATGGATATTAAAAAAATACCTACTGCTTCCTTTTTCTTGTCACTCTTCAATGAACCTGCATGACCATAAGTTGACATATGGCAGATAATTAGTGTTGGGCAGACTTAAAATGTTTGCAATGTGAGTCTAAAAACTTTGTGTGTTTATGCAAACTTCTTTGGTCTAGAAACAAGTTTGACAGAAAAGCTTTATTCTTAGGAGGTTCTTGCCACCACCCAGTTGTCAAAGAATGTAAAATGTTGCAAGAATAAAGTGCTGTGTGATGTTTCTGTAATTAGGCTTTTCAGTTTTGTTTGGATTGGGGTCATGCACATCAGCATAGCTCTAATGACGTCAGTTTAGGATCTGCCTCATAAAATTCAAAGGGAAATTAAAACAAGTCAGCATCAATGTCGGTTAGTCCTTTTTTGTGTTCAAGGAGTGATAACTCTAATTTGGGTTTCGTTTGAGATTTCAGCTGCTTGTGCTGATCATAGAATAAACATGCAGTTAAACCTCTTGATCCACGTAACTCACAACTTCAGTAAAGTGCTAATCTATATCACCTGAGCCACATTGGCCACATTGACCATTGGCCACTATGGATTTATCCATATCACAGGACTATGCAAGGTTCATTGTGACTTGGTTTCAGTTTTTGTTTGTTAGCTAACCATTGCCAGTTTTGTTTTACATAATTTCTGCAACCAAAAAAATTAATTAATTTGAAAAGAAAGATCTTTCTTCATCTTATACTATGAATGCCATGACTGTAACTTCATACTGACTGAGAACCTTACTTGTTTTCCCAGCTGCTGCACTGTTTTGGAACACCACTGAGGAAAACAGCTGGGGCTCCCCTGGAAGAAAACTATATACACCCAGTCTTAGCCACTTGAAGAGAAGATGAACTCTAGACCATGAGCATCTTAACAGAGGGTGATTGGTGTGTGTTGCAGATAAATATGAACACCATGAAAACAGAGGAAGATGTGAGATTAGTGAAGGTCTGAGGCAAAGTAAAGATTTCAAATTTGAAATAAAGTCCTCTGCTACCATTAGAAATAGTGATGCCAAAGGACATCTTTCTCCCTTGTCATGCCAACAGTGCAAACATATCTGTAGCTCCAAAGCCCAGCTCTACTGGGACATGAAGAAGGGGGAAAACCAAACATTTCTATGCCCAAAATATGCTCGCAGACTGCTGGCAGGGAATGACACCTTGGTCTTCCTGCTGACTGTCCTCCTATTGAGCACATGAGAGCGGAACTGAGGGCACAGTGAAGCTATATCTGACTGGAGATCAAGAAAATATAACTTTAACTTGATTCCACATTACTCCCTGGAATTTGGCTCAGCTGAATGTACCCATGCAATCCTGGGATTGATTTTAAATTTGTGGCTGTTTTATAATCTGATTTTGCTTTCCCTCATAAAAGCTATCCATGCCTTAGTTGCTAATGCTCTTGCTTGGTGACAACATAGCCACAAGGGAAGGCTACCTGGTTTGCTATCAAAATGTAACATAAAAACTGTTACCTTCATTATATGTGTTATATAATGGGGTAGAGGTTTCATCTGGGTAGGGTTCAGTTTAAATATACTTTAAAGTGGTCTTTAAAAGGAACGAACTCCACTGTGAAACACTATTATAACACCAGGGAGCCCTCATTTTGTGACCACTCTGCTCGATGGATGTGAATGTTCAGGTCAGTATTCACAGAAAGCCAAATTCAGGGCTTTGAAAAGAAGCTGTGATATCTTTAGTTTATTATTTAATCAGTGAGCCAGTTTCAGGATTGGTTTTATACTCATGACTGACTGTTGAAAGCCTGAAAGATATTCAGGGATAGCAGAAAGGGAAGCAGGCTGTCATTTCTCCTATGCATTCCCCTGACCCACCACATGCTCAGACAAGGATGAGATAGGCTTATCTGCATTTTGATTCTATTCAGTAGTTATTGTCTCTGGAAATGTGCAAATAAAATAATGAAGACCATGATAAAATAGAGCAGGAAAAATATCTCTCTATTTAAAGCAGCTGTTTGGGTGCCAGCTGCTTAGTAACAAATACATCTTTAATGAAATCAAACAATCCAACAGGATTTATTGATTACTAACAATTGTTTTAAATACAGTCTGGTAGGCTAGGCTGTTTGCATCCTTTTTTGCCCAATTAGTTCAGTTGGTTTGAATTAGACATACTTTGCTATTATCTTTAAAAATATGGCTCACTAGACAGTGCATTATTTTCCTCCAGAATAAAGTGTGGGAGAGATGCATAGAATGAAAGATTTTTGACACTATTCCAGCTGTTTAGAGGAAGGCAGCAGTGTGCCTTGTCAAGCTCTTTCACCTCAGCAGCTTCAGTTCAAATCCATCCTGAGATCTTGAATGAAGAGGATATGGTATTCACTCCTTGGAGCCTGTTGAACAGTGGAAAGAACAAGAACTCCTGTGTTTTTGTTGCACTTCAGAGCCAATTTCTGCAAGAACGATAAGAGAGTCTTGCAGAAACTTAAATCTTAGGGCTGACCTCTGTCTGCCTGTAGTTCTACTCTTGCTAACATCGAGGGGAAATAAATCAGCAGTATTGCAAGCTGATAGACTAGATGGCAGAAGAAGTCCTTTCAGCCCTTTTTTCTAGGAACTTGGGAAAATCTGCCATTGACTTCAAGATTGAGGAAGTTCTGCTCCCAGACAAAGGTCTATTTTTTCATAAAATTATACACCAGTCATCAGTCATATCAGCACTAGTTGGAAATCTCTAAGCACCAAGTTATTTTCAGTATGCCTGCAGAACCACTAAAGTATTAATTATGAGCCTGATCCTTAATGATCCCTGATCATAGGGCTTTTAGGTTCAGTCAAGACTGTCATGGATTTCCTGGGAATTTTTACTGTGAAAAAATGGTAGACTCAGATCCAAACATGCATGCTGAATGAATTGATGCTGATTTCAGCTCTTTTTTCTCTGTTTCAGTGAGCCTGAGCAATAGTGTTCTAAGTGTTGGACACACCTCACAGAACCACAGTAGCGAGCTAAGATAACCATTCAAAAGCACATGCAGATAAGAAGCAAATAAAACACTAATGTGTTTTCTTGAATGATGTTTTTAGACAAACAAGTGCTGGCATATGATATATTGGGACTAAACGGTAGTTTCAAACTGAAGATGCTCAGGCCCCACACTGTGGGGTAATGCTATCAAAATGTTCACTGTTCTCCCCAGTTAACAGCTATCCACAGAAACAGACCTTGTGGCATTACAGTGTAAGGATAAGGACTCTGCTGATACCAAGTGTTCAGAATGGGGCTCATATATACAAATGGAATGGTTCATATGAAACATACTGCCTTATCGGAGACTTGCTATCTTTTCAGAGTGCATTGTGCTTAATTCTGCACCCCTATATTACATTAACTTTTGATCTGTATGTAAGGATGGAAACAGCACATAATATACACCAGAGAGCACCCTGACACTGCATCACCAAAACAACTTGTATTATCTTTAAATCCAAGATCTGAAACCTTTGCTGTAGATCCATGTATTAATCTACTTGTGTAGTCAAATATAGAAATCCTTTTCTTCGTGAAACACACAAGTCCCTGCTTCTTCCAGGCATTTTATTCTAACAGGTAGCATGGCTCAAGTTTTTATATTTATTCTAAAATGAGTGGCAATATTTTCACTACTACACTACTGGTCAAGGTGTTGTGGTAGTAGGGTATAACCAGCATATGGGAAAAATAGGGTGCACCCAGACCTGTCACCAATGCAGCGAGGTTGGAATGGTGGGACAACCTGGTGTCCTTCCACCTATTGCTCCTCAACAAAATTCCAACACCTTCCAGCAAATTAGCTGTGATGAGAAAGCAGCCACTTACCAGCTACAGCTTTTGCCTAGCAGTTAGCTGACACTGCAAATGAGTAAGACTACTAAAACCACCAGCCTAGATCAGCACCTGATAAAAAGTCATTGGCTATTGCTTTTGATATGCTTTTAAAAGGCTGTGCAGAGCAAAAAATCATCTATTAAAATATATGCTACCAGTGAGGAAAGTCTTTTTTCACAACATGAGCTGATATTCACAAGAAGGAATAGCTTTTCATGGGCTACAGATGTTCCTACTTTTGCCTGTGCCTTCTCTTTCTTTCAGATGGAAGGATGCCCCAGAGATGCTGCTTTTTTTAAGATGCGTTCTTGTCCTGGCTTTCACTGTATGGGATTTGTGGCTGCTATGAGATCAGCTGGCATGTCACTGCATGAGGAACCTCTGAGAAGGCAAGGGTGCCCAGGTGTGTGTGAAAAACTTTTTGACCATCTCCCATGATTGCTCAATATCACAGTGGTAAAAGGAAACCTTTGCAGCTAGTGCTTGATAGAGCTACATTTTATATTCCAGCAATCTAATTTCAATAGTTGAGTGACTTGTAAGAATATACACTGCATCATGGTGTTTCTTCACTGGTACTTCACCTCCATTCAGTGGCAGGTCCTTTGATAGATTTTCAGAAGCAGTTATGACTACAGAAAAGGCAAAGAATGAGTGTTCTGGCCTCCTTGATCCAGGTGTTATATAAACACTTGGTTTTAGGCAAACATTGAGTTCTAGTTTGTACACATTAACTAGATGAAAGGTGGAGTAGGAAACAAAGGCCAAAGAAGACTATATTTCATTTCAGACTCCTCCATGGAAGGGATACAGAGTCCCTTTTGAGTGTCAGAACTAGTAGCTCAAAGGCATCTCTGAGGATCAGTTCTAAATTTTATATAAGATCTTATATTTGGTTGTCAACCTATGACTAATGCCAACATATAACCCTGTAGATAACAAAAACCTTCTCTAAACAGTTTAGAATAGCTGGAAAACTATTATGAAGACACTCCAGAATTGAAGGATGTAGCAAAATTAAGGCTTTCACTATTTGAAAGACTGAATGGAATGATTGATTTAATATTTCAAATTCCCTTGATACAGGAATATAAAGGAGTGGCCATAGATCAACATATCTTAAAGTAATATTATTTTTATTCCATAGTCAAAGAAACCAAACTACAGTTGAGTCCTTGCTGTGCTGTATGTTGGAATATTCTTACTCCTACACAAGCCAAAATCAGAAAATATTTATTTCCCACTCTACCAATTTATTTGAAAATGAATGCAAATTAAAATTTTTACTGATTTGCAGGCAGTACATTTGTCACCTGCTCTCCAGTTAAATAGAGAAAACAGCTAATCTGACCTTGCGCAAACCAGCTGCATCTTGGTAGCACTCATCTTTTGTGAAGAGAATCCAAATAGCAAAGTCAGGTAAAACCATAGGAAAAGACCCGAATACATAGAAATTCTGGTGGAAGCAGTCTGATAAAGTGCATACTTTTGTAACTTATACAACATAGCTTCTCTTGAAAAAGAAACTCAGCTAGATTAAAAAAACAAACAAACAAACAAACAAAAAACCTATTCCTTAAAGATGCCTGTTTCTCTCAATTGACACTAAAAGGTACATGGGTAACTGGCTCAGGTGTCAACACTGCAGATCTTTAAAGTTAGATGAGATCAACCCTGTGGGACGTGGCCTGTCTCAGGTCACAGCAGGGCTCTCTGGTAGGATAAGGACAGAGACAGATCTATAGTTCAGCCTCTCACCACGAGCTATGAAATTGTCCTTCCGTGCTTTTAGGAACAGAATTTTATATTATTTTCATCACCTGGAGAAAAGGCCAAACTGAACTCTTATTTGCTTGTCTTTAGCCATAGGGATCCTGACTTCCTTTTCATGAGAGACAAATCCAGGAAGATCTCCAGCTTTCTTCTTTCCTGGGTGTTTCCTTCAGTGCTAATCCAAAAAACTGTGATGAAAGGAGGAGAGTGACCTGGAGAAAGGTAATTGCTTTTAGAAGTGCTTTTAACACCACAGTCACAAAGAGATTTTTCTATCTCAAGTGTGTGGGGATAGATTCTAATCAGAGAGGTTTCACATTCCTTAAATGTATGACACTGAGTGAAGCCATCTTATGTTAGAAGTGGTTTTGTCACTTGGTGGGAAGTCCCCTGCTCTAGATTTCCTACATTACTTTTTTACTTAATTTTCTGGATTGTTCATTTCCCCCAAGCACAATTGTTTCACAGAGTCATGGAATGGAAAGGACCTCTAAAGATCATCCAGTTTCAGTCCTTCCACTGTGAGCGTGAACCTTTTGCACTAGGTTCTGATTACCCAAAACCCTGTGCAGTCTGAATTTTTTCCTCATCTTCTGCTGAGATGCCCTTATAATTTCCATGGGACAAAATTCTTCCCAAAGCTGGATAACATGGCAGTCAGGAGACTCTAGATAAATGGAAATTGAAAAGTCCTTGATTTGCATTGGGACATAATTATATTAAGAGGACTTTGAATGGTGTATTTTTATATTACTTTTTTCAGCTTCAATGAGATATCTGGAAACTGCTATTCCTACTTTTTGCCAATTCCCATCAGTGCAATAAACATGCATCACAGTGTTTATTAATAATTTTTATCACTTCTAAAATTACTTAAAAGAACTGATGAATAGTTTCAGATGGATTGGCTTACAGCACACTGACCCAGACTGGAAAGTGACGGAGAGTTTATGTCCTTCCTATCTTTTTTTTTTTTTACTTTTCAACAGGTGATATGAAAAGAAAAGAAGCAAGCATGTTTTATTTTATGTGTTCAGGCATGTAACAGCTAGTCATGCACATGAGATTGAGCATTTATAAAACCAGATGTCTCTTGTAAAAATTAGGTCCAAGTATTTTATCCAAATTCTTAGGAAATTCTTTTGGTTTGTCTACTTAAGAACACTTAGCATTGCAAATTCACAGGAGTAAAATTCAGTCTGGCTTCAAAACCTTGCAATGTAATTAACTGAGACTTTATTAAAAAACCATAATTTGCAAGCCAGCACACTATTAACATATTAATACTCTGACCCTTTCTGTATGAGGCTCATGAATTCAGTTGTGCTACATCTATAGGATGCTGTGACAGAAGTAGAAAAGTGAGGTAATGTAGCTCAATTACACCAATCAAAAGGTTGCTGTGTTCAAAGACAAGGATTAGTGTTAATAATTTTTCTCCAGGGAAGAAAATGCTCGATCCAGATTCCTTTAGGGCCTGTAGATCCTTGTCAGGATGCAGAAGGGAAAGAACTCACATAACTAGGTCATTTAAATTCCTTTTGTTTGGCAAGGCTTATGAGATAAAACATTAGGAAAAAAACTTTTCTCCATAATTGTTATTTTGTTATCATTGACTACATTTACTAGGGTTGTATAAATACATTGGTAAATAGATATTGCTTATACCTTTAAAAATTGTCATTAAAAACATGTAAGCATTCTTCAGTATTGGTTCAAGACTCTCAAATAGCATTTATTATTATACAATGAAAAAATAATTAGAGACAGTGCATAAAATGCACAGGTATTATTGCATTTCTCTTTGTATATGCTATTTTTAAATTGCTGTGTTGCAGTAACAAAATACACCTGGAACAATACATCTTAGATATACTATTCACATTTGACACGGGAATAACTATGTTAGCTGTGAGTTTATAACAAGTTTGCCTCTTTTTCATCATTGCAATAATTTTCTTACATTAAAGATGCGCAAGAATATGAGATGCATGTGTAGAACTTGCAGCTCCAGCAGATGAACAGCTCTTGTAAGTTTGATGTCACTGATGACTTTTAAGGAGGCTAATAAAGGGCAAAATCAGAGAGGAATGCATCCAAGGCTGATTAAGCTTGATTGGGTAGCTGTCAAAGATAGTAAAGGCTCTTGTCAGTGCCCCTGTAGCTCCTGCCACAAGCCCAGGAGAGTGATACCCCAATTTGTCCACCTCCAAATATTTTTTCCCATCTGCTCTCATTAAAAAATTTACTGATACTATTGTGATGGATTTGCTGCTTTTTACTGGAAGCTCTGTCTTACATAAGGCAAGTATTGAATTAGGGCAAAATATGGTGGTAGATAATGGAAAGGAGGAAGGTGGAGGTACCGTCTGTTAAGCCTATTTATATTCTGATATATTATTAACACTTGTCTTGGATTTCTTTGAAATTTCAGAACTGAAACTCAGTCCGTGATAAGTCAATGACAAAACTGTTTCTGTGTCGCTAAGATCTTCCTCTGATAACAAGTCACAGGGAGGGGAGTACAAGGCAGGTTCCTGTGCTTTTGTGTTCACTGTGTGCCTGGCAATTCTTAACTTCAGTCAGAGAGTGTTGGGTCACGTTATAAGCTTGTCACATGCAAATATTTCCATTCTTTGGTGTACCACCATTTTTAATTATTTTGAATTCTTTAGGTGAATAAAGTGGCCACTATGACTTTGAAAGAGATTGCCAAAATGTATGCTGTACTATTTCCCCATTAACAACACACAATTATTTGGGAAGAAATTTTTTGTCCACTAGTATATGTATATAAGTAAAATAAATAATTCATGCAAAACATACTGTGCATATTGTGTTTTTCTCCAGTTATTACCAGAATATGTTATTAACATGTTTAGGCTTCTGTAGTAGTTTCATTTTTCATGTATTTTCTACATACTTCTAGTTTCCTTATCCTTATGAAGTCCCTAGCTTCTAAATAAATTATGTCACATTGAAATGTTTTATGGGAATTAGAGCCATAAAAATTAGGTCTTTGGGGGTATGGGTTTAAATGACTTCCTGGCTTCTTAGGTGTGTGATTTTTCTCTTATTCACTATAGATTTGCATTGTTAACAAGGTAGGAAGAAGAGTGATATTTTTGTTTAAAAAATAAGAATTGTGGGTTTTTTTTTCTTTACACAAAATAAACAAAATCACTGCTTTCAAATGCTTTCAAATTTTGTGCATTATAAAATGTTCTTCTTTCATTGCAATGTTTTGATTAAATCAGATTGCTTGTTTTCCTACTTTAACTTATTTTTAATCACAATGCAATAGTAATTCTAGATGATGGCTAACAGTAGTGGTCAAAATGGAATTTTCCAATTTTGTTGTATTGTATCATATTTTTTAGGTGGCACTTCCCCACATTAGACATGTTTCACAGAATTTGTCTCTCATGAATTCTCATTTCCTACAAGAAATATATAGCATCAAGTAATTCACAAGAGCTTTGACAATAGTTTATTTTTCCACAAAGTATTTTGTCACTACTGATTTATACCAATGAAAAGGAGAGACAATTCAAGTAATACTAATTCTTTATATGAAGTAGTGTGGGGAAATATTCAAAAGAAGAGTCCAGGAGTGTGAAAAATATATTTGCAATATTTTTTTTTCTCTCTCTGAGTTTTCAGTGGATTTTGCTCAGTTCTAATGTTTTGTAGCTCAGTTTTTCAGAAGAGCAAATTTTAGAGATGATTAGCTGATATAAATGTTATGGGGTTTGTATTTATTTGTATACCAAGTACCTGAAATCTCTGACTTCATGTATTCCAGTTCCTCAGAATCAGAGCTTGCAGGTACATAGATTTGCCTGGCTAGATTTAAATCTTGTTTTGGTCTTGGGCTTTATGCAGTTGTAGACAGGGTATCATATCTGATTTGCTTTTGGAAACAGACCTCTATCACTAATTTCTGGTATGAAAGAAAGCCAAGAGACTTGATCAAATGGCTACACTCCTCTTTTCAAAAATAATAAACAAAAAAAAAAAATCTCAAACTTCAGGAAAAAGGCTGATCACTTTGACAGTTATGAATATCTCACAAACTATGGTCACTTGCAGAGAAGAGTTTTATTCTCCAGTCTTATCCAGTGACATTCATCTATCCAAACAAACATGGATGTCTAAAGTGTGTTTCTGAGCTAATCAATACAAGCTTACTTTACAGTCAAGAGAATGAAACAGGTATTTTTTTGAGCAGTGTATCTCATTTTATTATCTCTGAAATAAGTCCAATTAGTCATGTCTTAAAAGTTCTTATAAAGTTCTACTGATGAAATGGACTCTAGGCTGACTATCTTAGAGATAAATCTTCTCTTTGTGGCTGATATGGTGAGATGAATCCTGCACTCTTCATCTACCCACAAGAATTACAAACTTTTTGACTTACAAAAATGTGCTGACATATCCTGCTCTATTTTAAGCATATTTAAGAAACTGAGCGATGTTTCTCTAGGTCTGTCAAAAACTATTAATAGACATCAGCAAAGAGGGGTGGTTTATGTTTAGTTTCATCAGCACAGATTCATTTTGTGCTTGAAGCAGTTTGAGCACTTCTGTTCAAGGCTACACAATGAGGTCATGAGAGGGGGGAGAAAGCAAACCCTGAGTCCATTTCCCCTTGTTCACTTTGAATGGGGTGTGAAATTGTGGTAATATAATTCCAATAAAATCAATCACTTTTAATATTCACAGCCTAAGAAACAATTTTGCCATTTGCCTCCATGTAAGACTGCATCTCTCAGCTTGTTACCAGCAGTGTGTAAAAGACACAAATGCAAACTTATCAAAGCTAACCAAGACACAATATCTCTGATCCCCTGATTCCCTTAGGGGAACTCCTTCCACTTAATGCTGTGCAAGCTAGTTATTTTCTCAAGCTCTCTGGAGGCTTCTGAAATTTATTTCCAAAGGTGTCTATTCATAACGTGTTGCTTTTTTTATACTGTTTTGCATTTATTTATAAAGTGGAATTTATGCTTTTTTTTTAATCTTGTGTGCATGAGATATTTCTTTACTCTTGATATTCCCCTACTTCAAGATAACCCTTTATGAAGGGTGAAAAATGCACTCATTTTTCAAATTTTCTACTGTTTCTCATGGAGGATAAATGTGTGCTGACTCACTTATTTAGCAGAAAATTCAGTTTAAAATCTTCTGATTTCTGCAGTATATAACCATACCTCCATCTCAAAGGAAATCTAGTTTCAAGAGAGCCTTTTTCAGGCATTAGTTTCACAGAAGCATAGTTTTCAAGTATGCTAACTCTTATTGATTAAAAAATCTCAGAGCCACCTAGTAGTACATCAATGGCTAAGCCAATAAAAACAAATAGCATTGTAACTGATCACACACATAGGCAGATTCTCAACGGGTGTATATCATCTTTGCTTCATTAACCTCAATGAAGCTAAATGGATTTTACATCAGTCCCAGATCTAACTTTAATGTGTGAATCTGTTATCAAAAAAAAAAAAAAAAAAAAGGAAACATTTATTGAGAGATCAGAATTTCTAACATTTTTAGTGCCTGTTTTGCAGAACCTGAGTACTGCTATGTGATGGAAACCTGCCCTTACTTAAAATGTTTCTGACATTTCCTGACACCCTAAATTCTTCAGGAGAAAGAAAAAAACATACTTTTTTCTTATCAGACTTCCGTGGATCTATCTTCATTTTGGTTTAAAGTTCTTTGATGATCTGTGAAAGTTGCCACAGAAATAGTCCTTAAGACTGAAATGTTGTTTTGCTGTATCAGAGAATAGTAGTTACACAGGATGTGAGTTCTGAAAACAACAGCTGCAAAATAGGGGGTAAAGCTTGCAAAAAATCTGGGCTGTAAATTATTATAAGCGAAATAAAGATTGAGTCTTCAGTTTTTCTACTAGACACCACAATGCCTTGCTTCAGCACTGAGCCCTTGTCAAATCTTTGGATTATTGTAGAAGCATAGGCTGTATCCAAATCTCATTGCTGCTTCTGTTGACAAAAGCATTATGGACAGGGTTTTGAGGTGATACAGTTTGGCACATGTCTTTTCTCTAGAATATGTGATTGCTAAAAATCTCAGCCAAGAAATTTCGGTGTTGAATACAAAAAAAGAATAAATAAATATTCCAACAAAACCAAATGAAAACAACATACAAACAGACTTTGAAGTGGAGAAGCAAATCTTGTTATTTAGATAAAACATTACCAGTCCTTCAAACTATTCATAAAATAGCATTCTGATGAGTCAGACACAGCTCAAAATAAACTGAGAAAAGTATTGTGTAATAATTCTTGAAAATGTTCCTTCTACTTCCTGGCCTTAGTTAAATTATCGTTGACACAAACAACTGTATAACTTATGGGTGAAATTGTCTTCTTTTGTAGCTAGTATGCTCAGAAGAAAATAATGTATTTAATCTTTAGCTTCACAGGTGGCTAGTACTGGGACGATATTTCTGTGATGAGACTGCCTTTAATAGTGTGTTCCCTTGCTTGTATTATATACTGGTGATATTATTAGTGTAGTTTTTGTATCTGTGTATTGAATATGTCAGAGTATATGTGCAGCAAAATCAATGTAGATGGTGTTAAGTCAGGTGCAAGAGGCTTGCATATGTGACATACTCACTGGGTAATGTTTCAAAACTCTTGTTTCAAATTAGTGGCCAAGGCAAGAAACATGACACAAATTTAGTTTGTTCTTTATATCTACTCACACTAATGATTGAAAAATACTGCAATTAATAACTTTATTCATTTTCTGCTTGTTTTTATTTATGTGAAGTGAGGTTTAAGATTTGCTTAACTTATCCATCAGACAGGAAATATTATTTTCTGATTCTGGGCACTTCTAAAATTGAGATAAAATTGATAAAGTCCAGAACCTGTCTTGCCATTGTAATATAGTAAACTAGATGTTAAGTAGAATAAATGCAAACAGTTTCTGCTAATCACATGCCTTGATATCCCTCCTGTTTCCTGTACTATATGAGATTCTGATGCCTAGACATTTTAGAGATCCTTCTCCAAGGAACATGCTAACAAGTATGCAGCTCAGATTAAACAGGGCAGTACTCAGACCTGTGTTCTAGCACTATTTATTTTATGTAGAGAGATGCAAACATTGTAAACTGGGCTGGGTTTTCCCAGGCCCAGTGGAGGAGTAGTTTCAGAAAGGCCAGGAAGGCTGTATTTCTCATGGGTCCAGGATGATTAGCTAAAGGGGAGAACTGCAAGATGGAGAAAGCTACATTTCAAGGAATGTGCAACCTTCCTTCCCACTGGATACACACTGGAGGTCCTGATGGTTTCTTCTGGGCAGCCTGTGCTTCCAAAGGCAAGGAACAAGGAGAGATAGTGATGATTGCAAGTGAGTCTGATATATATTCAGGTGAAAAAAATTCTCAATTTAAAATAGCCTGAGAAATGTTGGATGGCCCAGTGGGAGATCACCAGCAGTCCATATGACAATATTTACAAGTTAAGCTATATGGGGGGGTTTTGTGCAGTTAGGAAAATTTACCAAGGTCACGATCTCTCTTGCACGATGGGCAATACCAGTTTATTTCCAGGAAAGTATATGAAGTCTGTAGACAACATTTTTATGCTTTAATTTTTTGATTATTTATTATTGCATTTTGTTTGGGGGTGGCATTAGCAGATGACTCAGGAGTGTGCTAAAGCCATATGGTTTCGTGTTTGTTTTTCAGGACAGGTACTCAAGGGATCCCCTGATCTTCTACTACTGAGAATGAAGAATATGCACTGTGAGCACTTAAGTGTTCTGGTCAGCTACATCAGCTTTGCAGCATCTGTGAAAATCTAGGAAAGTTTCTATACTTTCCTTACAAGGTGAAATCATAAAGGTTCCAGGAAGAGAACAGACCATAGAGAACAGCTGACCCATAGAAAGTACTTATCAGAGACCTTTTCACTTTCCATACCATTTTCCTAACACTGAAATTCACATATTTTGAGAAACCATTATATTGCTTTATCCACAGGAAAAAAATATATAATGTAGATTAATGTGATGTGAAAAGCATGTATAGCTGAGAATAACAGTTGGCTGCAATTAAATTATGACATATGAATAGTCACTTCAGAGAACACCGTGGGATAAATGGCAGAGGATGTCCAAGGACTAATCTCATCTTCCTCTAAAGGTGTGACCTCCCACATTAAAGAGTCTTTAACACCATGCTATGATATTATTAACTCAGGTGAGTGTCAGTGAACAGCAGTCTAGAGGGCTTTTCTTTGGCTTTCTCTAATAAAACAGCTGACCAGACTTATTCAATTAAGGAACCTCTGGCAACAGATGAGCCTTGGTTAGATGAACCCTGGAGGAAAGTATGTCAAAGAAAAGAATATAAAATACCTATGTAAACCATTGTTAGAAACTCTATGCTATTTTTATTTTGCATTTTGTCTTATGTTTAGTTACCTATTACATGCTGATGTGTCCAACACAAAAGGATCATTTCAAATTGTCTTTTTCCTGTTATCATCAAAACCATGCGAAAAAAACCCCAGAAAGCCACAGACTACCACCACCAAAAAACAAAACTCTGGTTTTGTTGAGCCTCTATTTTACCTCAGTTGCAGAAATGAAGGTGCTAGACCCATAGATAAAATCCTCCTCCCACTGCAGATTCAAATTTGAACAAATATGACAAGTCTTCCGTATTTCTGAGTCATTGTCAAATGAGACCTACAGAATGAAAGTACAGGAATGAACTGTATGAGGTCTAGGGTGTTTTCAATATCTTTGGAGTTTTAAAGTCCACAGCTTTCAATTCTCTTTTCTATCTGCAATCCACATCAGGTTTTAGTAGCCTTCCTGGAGGAGGCAGAAAAGGAAAAAAAAGGAGGCAGTTTTCTGTAAGAGTGGTTTCTGTTAGCACCTGTTTGCATTGCTGTTCACTGGAAACGGTGGAGGGCAAATGTGAATTGAAGCCTCATCTAGATTTCTCCAGAAGAACTGGAGGAAAAGGTTATGAAGAAGTTGCAGTAGTTGCAATGTCTGACATGTAGAACACCAGAAAAGAAAATGAAAAATATTTGCTCTGTAGTATGAAATCTAGCTGCTGTATGCTACAGTGCATAATACAAGCGTGCAAATCTTATTATAAACAAATTAAGTCTAAAATATATATGGAAATGAAATATAAAATATAAATGTCTGAAGAACTTTGGGCAGTTGTAGAAGCAAACAGTACTCTAGTTCTTGATTTAGGTTGTATTCAGATTTGTCTGCCTATTACGTGCAGATTTTTCCTTCTATTTTTCCCCCCAAATTTTCGTCCAGGGCTTTTTATTTTTTTGTTGTTAAAGATTAGTGAATATGGACAGTTTGTTCTTTTTCCTGCTTACTTACAGAATGGAGGAACTGCCCCAGCAAAAATCTTTTATCTTTCATGGTCTTAAATTACTGAGCAAATCATTCTCCCCCAACAGAGAAATTTCGACTCCACCTTTCAGTTTCAAGACATCTGGAAATCCTGCCCTGCTGGCAAGTTAGGAAGGACAAGCATAGATGACATAAAACTTTCCAGTAGGAAGTTTTATTAAAATCGTGTTTAACTCCTTGCCTCATGTCTGACACCAATCTCAGATTCTTGAAAAAGGACTTAGCAAGGGACAAAAAAACACAGCCAAAGTGATTCTGTTTGAATGAATTTTAGGTGCCAAAGCTTTTTCTCCCATCCCAAGATCCTGATCAGTCCAAGTACTTGTCTACATTGAATGTACACAAGTGCATTCACACACTTACACATATCAAATGTGTTACTGGATAAAATTACCAGCCAACAGAGACTAGAGCTATAAAGAAGATCAGGGCTGAGAAGCAACCTGGCAATTCATGGACCTTCCCTCTACAGTCTGAGCAGGGAGACCAGATATTTTCAGCCTCAGTGGCCCACCCCTTTCAGCAAGGGTGAGGTCGCAATAGGGCAGTGAGAGTGAAAAGGAAAAAAATGGAATAGTTAACTATGGGAGAATGGGCAGAAGAAGCTGCTTAATGCAGGGACAAGCAGGCCAATGTTTTTGGAAGTCTTTCAGTGTGAGCCACTTCTCTATGCCTGTCAATGAATAAATAAACTGCAACTTTTTAAAGGATGACTAACCTAGACTGAATATCTAAAAGCTACTTAAAATTTTAACTTTAATGAGTACTTTAAAAATGTATCTTTATGATACTAAAACTAATATACATGTTTTTTAAGGGGAAAAAAATTATAAGATGATGTTCTTTATATTTATGCTGTCACTCATGCTTTGACTCTGATCACTTATCTGGATAATTAAGCAGTATCACTGAGGAACCAGATACCAGAAATCTGATATTAATCCATCCCTCCTAATAGTAACGCAAAGCCACTGGGGTGGAAAGCAGCCTAGTCTTCCTAATCCCCTTTTACCAACATTTCAGCATCAGCATATCTCATTTATTTTCAAAAGTGGTTCAAGACACACTATCGCTGGCTTAAGTCTAATTTAGGCTTTAAATCAAAATATATTAAGAAATGCAAAAATAGTCAAGATTACCAAGATTTCTTGAGGGAATGATTCACAACCAGCTCATGTCCCTCTGACAGGAACTGGGGACAGCTAAATGATTGTTGCATGTCTGCATTGCTTTAAGGTACATCACTTTCCTTTGAATTAAAAGAAGGCAGGATTACGGTGGAGACCTTGAGATCCCACTGCCATACTTATCAGGTATATGTTAATGATATTCTGAGCAACTTCTACAGACATAATTCACCTGCCAGTACTGAGGAGTCCAAGGCTATTCTGTTCTCTCCCTTGTGTGCATGCGTGAGTGTTTATGTGAGCCTTGTTGTCGCCTTCAGAGTATTCTTGGCTCCTCAGGGTATTTTTGGGTTCAGTTTCAAGACTGTCCTAAAGTCCTCCTTAGTCACTGTTACTCCCATTATCCCCTTGTGCATTTTGGGGTGGTTTGACTTGAACCCAGCATGAGTACACTTTGACATGTACCACAGCAGTAAAGGTGGTGGGTAATTGTCAGAATAAGAAAGCTGCACACCTCTCCCTTCCCTACCTCCTCTATGCAAACCAAATAGATGAACAACACATACCCAGACTGAACATCATCCTCAGGCTGTGCCCATGGTGCAAAACCACAACCCCAGCTCGATGACATGAGTTTGGGCTCTGCTCCTGGCTTGTGGTGTGAGGCAGGTCCAGCTGTCTCACTTTCTACAGCAACCTCATCCGTTGGCCATCGTCTCAATTGGCTGGAGCTGGTGCTGGGCAGTTGCTTCTAAAGGCTGACAAGCTACTGATATTGGTGTGTTTGAGTCATGAAGGGCAACTTTGATTTTGATAGTTATCTAATACAGGATGTGTACTGCTTATTGTCATATCATTTTATTAGCTACTGCTGACATCCCCCTGTGCATATTGAAGCTGTAATACTTTGAACTCAAGAAGAAAAACTAAATATATTATGACAAAAATAATAGAAACCAAGCTTAGCCATCTACTTTAGCCCCAGTGTGATACTTTCCAGTTCCTGAGAGTCTTAAGGAGGAACTGAGAAGACATACAAGTCCATTAACCTTGCCTACTAACAAAGTTTTCAAAGACAGTAATGGGGACAGAGTCCATGTGTCATCATAGTGAAAGTATGTGGCACTTTTACCTTGTTTGTGTGGCTCTACCATCAGAGACAGACACATTTCAGTGCAAGAGACTTCAGGAAACTGCTGGTTTCCCATGTATATTTTATTAAGTGTTAGTGCCACCAAACACTGTACAGATGGGGGAATCTATCACTTTATAAAATAATTAGTCTGCTATTTCCATGACAAGAAGAAACAGCAGTATGTAGGCAGCAAACTGTGGGGCTGCTTTTACCTTCCTCGTTGTTTTTGTATTTTTACCAAAACAGGAAAATATTTTTACAGAGTAGGCCAACAGTGCCACTGGAATTGAATTAGAGCATCCTTAATTAATATGTCAGAATATGAGAAATGATGAAAATATGTATAATTAATTTCTTGCACTAAAAACAGAATTATAATATGTGACTAAAATAGATCAGGGAATTTTTTGTGTGTGTGTGTGCTTTTTATTTTTTCCCTTATATTTTTATTTTAATTAAAAAAAATGAGTTCTGCTATCTTTGCACTGTGTCTTGATTAGCTATTACGTGCCTGGCTAAGAGATGGGTCACCCCAAAAATTACACACTATCTGTGAAAATGAAAAGAATTTTCCCAGTTCTGTGAGTATAGTGTTATTTGCAGGCTAATATGCAGCAGTAATAGCTTGGCACTGTGGCAACCTACATTGTCGATAATAAGAAGCTGTTTGAGACAGGTGCTTGAAAGAGCAAACTTCTTACATAAATTAAATACCTATTTTCAACTACATGGCTCCAATTTTCAAAGGCGGTGAGTGATTCTGGGTATTCTAGTTTTCCAGGGCTCAAAATCAGACATATGCAGAAGGTCTGATTTTCTAATTTTCAGTGTTTATGGAAGATCCAACTTCATTAAAATGTCTGAGTGCCTCTTTTCTTCCCCTGTCACTCAGGAGTTCAATCAAATAGGTCAGTTTCGATGCTAGGTCACACCTATGCAGTGAGTAACTTCACAGACTATTTTACATCAGACATTTTTACTCTCCTAATCTCTTCTTGTGCATGTGTTGTGCTTTTTTTAGTTTAAGGGAAATATTTTAAACTGAAAATCTCCTTTTGTTTCTACTTTATGGGAGATTTACAAACACGTATGTGAAAATTAATTGTAGACTAATACTGA